CAAAAAAAAAAAAAAAAAAAAAAAAAAAAAAAAGACAGGATGTAGCTCAGTGGTGCAAAGGCACTAGCCTTTGATTTCCAGTATTGCAAAAAAAAACTTTTTTTTTTCATATTTCAATGTCCATAAATAATTTTAGTGGATGCAGTCACATTGATTCATTTACTTATTGTCCTTGGATGATTTTGTGCTACAGTGAGGAGAGTCAAGTAGTTAACAGAGATCATGTGGCTGCAAACCTTAAATTATTTAGAATCTGGCCCTTTTTTTTTTTTTTGGTACTGGGGATTGAACTCAGGACCTTGTGCTTGCAAGGCAGTTGGCGGCACCACTGAGCTAAGTCCCCAGCCTTTATAATCTGACTCTTTACAGAAAGGTTTGCTGATCCCTGCTTTCCAGTACTCATGATTGGCTAAAAATATTGTATTATTTGTCATCATCAGTGTGTTTCAAAATGGACTTTTAAACAGAGTTGTAGGTATTTCCAAAGAAATCCTTTTTGTATCTCTGTTTCGATACTCTTCTTTTTCTTTTTTTGGTACCAGGGATCAAACTCAAGGCAGGCAGCAGCACCACTGAGTCCCTGGCTGTTCTGATACTTTCATCTGAACCAAGTCCCTGCTATATTTATTTATTTTTCCAGTACTGGGGATCAAACCCAGGACCTTGTGTTTGTGAGGCAGTTGCAGTGCCACTGAGCTAAATCCTGGCCTTTATTTATTTATTTATTTATTTATTTATTTATTTATTTATTTATTTATTTATTGAGACAGGATTTTGCTATATAGTTTACACTGGCCTTGAACTCACTATGTAGCCCAGGCTGGCCTTGAACTTCTGGTGATCTTCCTGCCTCATCTTTCCTGAATTCTGGGGTTATAGACGTGCTACCACACCCAGCTCCTGTGTTTCTTTCTTAGACCTCCTGATTTTGTCCATCCAGCTTTTTCTTATTTTTACACCAGAAGAGAATGTTTTGGAGGAGTGGTGAGTATTAAAAGTAAATAGCACAGGAAGACAAAACAAAACTGAGTTTGCTGGAGAATTTGAGAATCAGGGCCAGGGATATAGGTCAGTGATAGAGCGCTTGCCTAGTGTGAGTGAATTGTGTGAAGCCCTGGGTTCTATCCCCAGAATTGCAAATCAAACAAAAAAATCCAAACCAAACAAAAAAACTCTTCAGGATTAAATCAGATTTTGAAGGATTTTGTAACAGTGCTGATCTCTCTCTTTCTCATTTTCAGATTATTTGTGTAAACCCGAAGACAACATCTACAGTATTGATTTTACCCGCTTCAAAATTCGAGATTTAGAGACGGGGACAGTGCTTTTTGAGATTGCCAAACCTTGCATTTCAGGTAGGGATTACTATTGTAGGGGTCATGTGACAGCTTGAGCTAAAGATCTCTGGAAAGTGGAATACTTGTCACTGCATCCTGTCTCTCTCTCTCTCTCTTTTTTTTTGTTACTGGGATTGAACTCGGGTCCTTGCGCTTGCAAGGCAGGCCACTGAACCTCTGAGCTAAATCCCCGGCCCTGCATCTGTCTCTCAACTGCAGTGTGTCCTGCTTCCGCAACTTCTTCCTGTATCTCAGCCTGCTGGGTGTGCTGGGTTATGTTAGCAGGCTGGTGGTTATTGAGTATCTGTACTGTGTTGGTTGCTGTTCCTCTTTTTAGACATCACTTTTATGTCATCTTCACACTTCTGTGAGGAGAAGGAGCTAAGACTCAGAATTTCCAGGGGACGCTGTCATGGCTTGTGTTTGGAGGTCGCCCAAAACCTCTTGCGAATGAGGTGGGGCTGTTTCTGAGGTAGCTGAATCTAGAAAGTGTTAATTGATACATGGTGCAGTGTTAGGCCTGAGGGCTCTAGGCTTAAGCTGTTGAGTGCTACCTGCCCTAGTCTGAAAATAAGATAAAAGGGGCAGAAAGATGCTCTTTCTTTTCCCCTCTTTACCCCTCCCTTTTCCCTTGTTGCTTTTGTTCCATACAGATTGCATGAACTGTTTCTTCTCTGCCACACCTCTCTGTCTGTGCCATTCTGCCATTGGCGGAAACCTCTACAGCCTGTAAGCCAAATAAACCCTTCACCCTTGGGCCGGGGATTTAGCTCAGTGTTTCTGCTGCCTGCCTTGCAAGCACAGACCTGAGTTTGATCCCTGGTACCAAAAACAAAAAACCCATCACCCTTTAATTTTGGGTGTTAAATATTTTGTCTCAGCATTGAGAGAAAAGTAACTAAGACAGATACTTTCCTAAGTCCTGTGCTCTTGCATCGTATCGTGTTGCCTCCCATTAGGAAAGGAAATTAAATTCTAATGAGGAAAAGTCACTGAGCCTTGAGTTCTCTAGGAAAGGTGATACTGAGGATTCCATTCTAAACCGTAAAGTAAATTCTCCTGTCTTCTTGTTGTCTCTAAAGAGTGCCATGGGTTTCCCAGTAAGTTCTGGTTTGGATTTAGTTTGCATCTGTCTCTCAACTGCAGTGTGTCCTGCTTCCGCAACTTCTTCCTGTATCTCAGCCTGCTGGGTGTGCTGGGTTATGTTAGCAGGCTGGTGGTTATTGAGTATCTGTACTGTGTTGGTTGCTGTTCCTCTTTTTAGACATCACTTTTATGTCATCTTCACACTTCTGTGAGGAGAAGGAGCTAAGACTCAGAATTTCCAGGGGACGCTGTCATGGCTTGTGTTTGGAGGTCGCCCAAAACCTCTTGCGAATGAGGTGGGGCTGTTTCTGAGGTAGCTGAATCTAGAAAGTGTTAATTGATACATGGTGCAGTGTTAGGCCTGAGGGCTCTAGGCTTAAGCTGTTGAGTGCTACCTGCCCTAGTCTGAAAATAAGATAAAAGGGGCAGAAAGATGCTCTTTCTTTTCCCCTCTTTACCCCTCCCTTTTCCCTTGTTGCTTTTGTTCCATACAGATTGCATGAACTGTTTCTTCTCTGCCACACCTCTCTGTCTGTGCCATTCTGCCATTGGCGGAAACCTCTACAGCCTGTAAGCCAAATAAACCCTTCACCCTTGGGCCGGGGATTTAGCTCAGTGTTTCTGCTGCCTGCCTTGCAAGCACAGACCTGAGTTTGATCCCTGGTACCAAAAACAAAAAACCCATCACCCTTTAATTTTGGGTGTTAAATATTTTGTCTCAGCATTGAGAGAAAAGTAACTAAGACAGATACTTTCCTAAGTCCTGTGCTCTTGCATCGTATCGTGTTGCCTCCCATTAGGAAAGGAAATTAAATTCTAATGAGGAAAAGTCACTGAGCCGAGAGTTCTCTAGGAAAGGTGATACTGAGGATTCCATTCTAAACCGTAAAGTAAATTCTCCTGTCTTCTTGTTGTCTCTAAAGAGTGCCATGGGTTTCCCAGTAAGTTCTGGTTTGGATTTAGTTTATTCTTTTTTTTTTTTTTTTCCTGGTACCAGAGATCAAACTCAGGACCTTGTGCTTACCAAGTAGGAAAGGCACCACTGAACTACATTCCTGGCTCTAAATTTATTCTATCCAGCAGGCTGTAAGATAGCACTTCATCCAAGCTATTGGTAGCAAAGATATAGCAGGGAATTGAGATGTTTAATTAGGAGTTGTTTCAAGGGTTACCATGATCTCAGGCAAACAGAACAGCTTGATTTTTGCTAGGTTTCTTCATTTCATCTGTGGCCAGGGGCTTCTCTTCCTTACAGTTTTTGCTTTTAGATCCTTGAGTTTCCTCTGTTCCTCTCTTTGTTTGAAGATCTTACCCTCCGTGGCCTGCTTCTTGGGCTGTTTCAGGGGCTGCTTCTTGCCATCATCTGGTCTAGACATGGAACCTGCTACCCCTTCCTCAGACCCTGTTACCAGAAATCTCAGTTTGATTTAATCTCCGTTTTCTAGTACAGACTGATGAACTAACCCATTTGGGATTTGTTAAATCAGCCGTTATTAAAGGCTTCCTGTGCTTGCAGTGCAGTCCCAGGTGATTAATTTCTGGCCAGAGACCACAGAAATCTTCCAAGCACTTTACTGGAGATTTAGCGCCCTCTGGAGTGAGTCTTTTGTTGGGTTTGTGGCTCAGTGGTACAGCTGTCTCGGCATATTTGAGGCCCTGGGTTCCTTTCCTAGCACTGCAAAAAAGAAAAGAACAAAGACTTTCCTGAGAAAGTCTCAGAAGTCTTGGCTCAGATTGATCATAAAGCTAAAGCTAGAGCCCTGGATCACCTGCACCCCATATTTATGCTACCATAATTATATAATACTGACCAAGACACCTAAAAGCTCAAGCTTATTGGTACTTAATCTTATGTTGGGATGATCAAGTCAGGGCCAGCTAACCTTCTGAGTCTGTGGTGTTCTCATCCTAAGGCACATGTCGCAGTACTTAGGACATTTCAAGGACCCCAAGGTTACCACATGTGTGTGGATTTGGATTAGACCAAGCTCGGAGTAGTCATTTCAGTATAAAACTCTACTATAGAAGTATCTGGATTTTCAAACTCCCCAATTTCATATAAGGATCTTTGGCTGGGCTTGGTGGTGTATGCTTGTACTCCCAGCACTTGGGAGATTGAGGCAGGAGGATCACCAAAATTTTGAGGCTAGCTTTAACTTCATAGCAAGACTCAAGGATCTTGATTGACTTAGACTATCCTCACACCAAATCAGTGCCTTCCTGCAATACTTGCTCTGATGACTATATCTCTGAGAAGATTTGGCCTATTTGAACCACACTGGTGGAGTCAGGGCTCTTAGTTCCTGGGTATAGATCTGTGTTAGTTACTTTTCTCTCAGTGCTGAGACAAAATACTCAATACCCAAAGTTATAGGGGCAAAAGGGTTTATTTGGCTTACAGTTTGAGAGGTTTCAGTCCATAATTGGCTGGCTCTAAGGCGGGGTGGTGTATGGCAGCAGGAAGGTAGCAAAAGCAACATGGGAACCATACCAGCCTCTTCTTGCCTGTTTTATCTTATTCAAACTACTTAGGACAGATAGCACTCATGCCCTTAATCCTAGTGCCCTCAGGCCTAGCCCCACCATGGGTCAATCACACCATCTAGATTTAACCTCTGGAAAAGTGTGAGGCTTTGGGGGACATCCAAACACAGCCCTAACAGAACCCCCGCTCTGTCTGGTTGGCCAGTGTTCTTGGGAGTCACAGGTCAAGATGTTTTATCTTAAAGACAGCCATGTTTAGCTGAGTTGGAGAAAATTCCTATACTGGACCCTGGAGGTACTGACTTTTTATTCCCAAGCGAACAATTCTGATTTTTTTTTGGTACCAGGAATCAAATTCAGGACCTTGCGATTTTGAGGCAGTTGGCAGCACCACTGAGCTACATCCCCAGCCCTCTGATTGATTTTTTAAAATCTTTCATCTCCTGGGTTTAGGAGTGGAGTAGGCCAGGCATCAGCATTCACTGTAAGGTCCCACATGGTTCATTGCCTGTGTGTTTCACCCTTTCCCAGGTGGTCAGATTGTTGGGTCTGGAATGTCCTAGAGTAGACATCAGTCCAAGGAAGTACTGTAACTCAGTGTCTTCATTTGCTGCTTGTCAGAAATGTTTGTATTATTTGAAAGAACTTTAGCTTCACCCTTTGTAGTCTTATTGTTTTGATTTGTGGCTAGCACTTCAGCTTGGTGAATGGCAGGCCCAGTCTGTTTATATAGAGCCATGTCAGGGGCTCAGGGGCCTAGTATCCAGCTTCTGTTTCTTTATTTTTTCCGGTACTGGGAATCTAACTCAGGACCTTGCACTTGCCAGGCAGCCGGGGCACCACTGAGCTACATCCCTGGCCCTCCAGCTTAATGTTTTCAGACTTCATAGCCTGATCCCCCAAATTATACAAGGCAAATGGCATGGTGTATAAAAACATGCTTGAAGGGCTGGGGTTATAGCTCAGTGGTGGTACACCTGCCTTGAAAGTGCAAGGTCCTGAGTTCGATCCCTGGTACCAAAACAGGCTTGGAGTCAGATGGACTTGGATTCAAATCCCTACTGATGGGATTTACTGTTTTGGGATTTTAGAGATCCCATGTAAGCCCTCTGAATTTGAGTTCCCTCATCTGTGTAATGGAGACCACAGTACTTGGCTGGGCTGCTGTGAGGAATCTGCACTGTTAGCACAGGGCCTGGTGTATAGCAAGTACATGGTAAGTAGGGTTGTGCTCGCTGCTGGTGTCAGTGTGTTGGTTGTCACTGTGCTGTGTGGACTGTGGTATGCTCAGGAATCTGTATGTTCTTTCAGATCACCAGGAGGAGGAGGAGGGTGGAGATGTGGATATCAGTGCAGGGCGTTTTGTCCGCTATCAGTTCACACCAGCATTTCTCCGACTCCGGACAGTTGGTGCTACGTGAGTACCATTATTTCTTGTGGGGAGAACATTCTGCTTTTTCATAGCAGAGGCTGGGTTTAGGGTTGGCTTTGGAAGAGAAAGGAGGCAAAGTAGGGTTCACAGAGATTTATTTTGCAGTGTGGAGTTCACAGTAGGAGACAAACCTGTGTCAGACTTCCGGATGATCGAACGGCATTATTTCCGGGAACGCCTGCTGAAAAACTTCGACTTTGATTTCGGCTTCTGCATCCCCAGCAGTAGGAACACTTGTGAACATATCTATGAGTTTCCCCAGCTTTCAGAGGATGTCAGTATGTATTCCCTGACTCTCACAGTGTTTTTGGTTCTGAGCTGCAAGGAATGAATCAATCCCTCTCCCTACCTCCCCTTTCTTTCTGCTGGAGGTGGAACCCAGGGCCCTATACATGCTAGGCAAGTATGTACTGAGCTGCATCTCCAGCCCAAAGGAACGAACCTTGAACCTCATCTGACGGCTTCATCTTGCAGAGGACAACAGCAGTGATGTGACGAGTATCTGGTCACCTGACCTAAGGCTTCTCATTTCCTCCTGCTCTGTCTTTTGTCTCAAACTCTAACTCTGCCTATATGGGAACAGAGAAGGTTGTAAAAATATAGGCCATTATATTTAGATGCCTGTAGTGGGAAAGGGAGTGGCTAAGTGGGGTAAGGGAGGCCTGGGACCTTGCCTGGGACTCTGACTAGATAAAGAGCCTCAAGTGTTAGTAATGGCTTCTACTGTGTCCTAGTCATTGGCTCTGCACTTTTTCCATAATCAGAGACAGATGTGAAATTGCAGGCTGAACAGAAGCAAAAGCCTGAGGACTTTTCTTTTTCTGTGCAGGATAGAGGGTTTATAAACTATTAGTAATGAATCAACCTAGGGCTGGGGATTTAGCTCAGTGGTGCCTAGGTATGCCTCACAAGCGCAAGATCCCAAGTTCAATTCCTAGAACCAAAAAAAAAAGAATCAACCTAGCAGCCAGGTGTAGTGGCTCACTTCTGTAATCCCAGAACTTGGGTAGGAGAAACAGGATGGCTTCAAGTTTGAGGCCAGCCTGAACTACATAGCGAGACCTTGTCTCTCTCTCTCTCTCTCTCTCTCTCTCTCTCTCTCTCTCACACACACACACACACACACACACACACACACACACACACACACAAATCAACATATGAGCTAGGGAGCTTTTGGCAGGTTTTATGGCAGTAGAAAGGAGATAGTGGAGACACGGTTTTAAGGAGAGGAGCCCCAGCTGGGGAAGGCTCCCTAGTGGAGCAGGCTGCCATGTAACCCAGACAAGGGAAGGTAGGGACTGAGCTAGGGAAAAGAAGCAGGCTTTATTTATTAGTTTCTGGAACTTTTATCTAGCTAGCTGCAATTACCATCCTCTCTTTGCCATTTGGAAAAGCTGCTTTAGAATATTTATGCACATGAGTGGAATTCTGTGATTAATGGTGACCTTCAATTGTGTGGAAGTATCAGTTTTCTCAGAATCCCAAGTCCTTAACTGATTGTTTACCCTGAAAATCAGGTGCTCTTTACTCCTGTGACAGCACTGTTCCCAGGATGGGCAGTGTTCATGACAGGACAGCATTGATTAGTTTGAGCCATGCTGGGCAGGACTATGAAGATGCTTTTAAGAAAACATCATGGGCCGGGGATTTAGCTCAGTGGTTCCACCACCTGCTTCACAAGCACAAGGACCCAAATTCGATCCCTGGTACCAAAAAAAAAAGAAAAAAAGAAAAGATCATGGGTAGAATTACAAGTCATACCTATGAAGCCAAATAAGCTAAGTGATTTTGGGGATCAGTTATTTACATGTAAACTAAATTGCTTTGGCCTGGATGGGTTCAAAGAACTTTTATTTTATTTCATTTTTTTGAGACAGGATCTAGCTGTGTAGTCCAGGTTGGCCTTGAACTTGTTATGTACCCCAGGCTGGCCTTGAACTTAGGGAAGATCCTCCTGCTTCAGCCTTTCAAGTGCTGGGATTACAGGCATGCATCACCACACCTGGCCTTCCAAGAACTTTAAAGGTGTCGCCTTTTGAAAATTGTAGTGCTCAGGCAACTCAGGGCATGTAATCATTAACAAAACTGATCAGAGGTAGTGTTAATTACCTTTACAGCATGGTAAAGGGTCTGGCAACTGTCTGAACATATACAGAATTTAAATTTAGATCCTAAGGCAAGCAGACCTCTGACTAGATCACTTGCAGGTTGCTCCTTGCCTTTTAATTCCCTAGAATCCTTTTGGCTGTTGGGTGCCTGTAGGAAGTGGGCACAGTGAGGTCTAGCTTCCTGGATTTGCACCAGCATGGCTGGCTAGCAGTGGGCAGCAGACCAGAAGCCAGGGCCGGCTTAGTCAGCCAAGAGCACTGAGTAAATAGAAGCAGCTGTGGTCCATGCTGGCAAGAAGTCAAGTCCATTTCCCATGGCACTGATGGGAAGAACCGGGCTGGAGAGGACCGAGGAGCTGACTGCATCCTGAGGTGGAGTGGACATCGTGCTCTTTGGGGCACAGTGGTCTCCCCAGCTCTTAGGGCTGGCTCCCTGGTTTTGACTCATTACTTGCCAGAGCATACTCATATCGTGCAGAAGAGCTCACTTGGGAATTTGAGAGGGGCATTCTAAGTGTTTTCTTTCCAACCTAACCATGGGATAGACTTGTATAACTTTTGGCTCTTTTTCCTTCTCCTGACTTGCAGTTCGTCTGATGATTGAAAACCCTTATGAGACCCGCTCTGACAGCTTCTACTTCGTGGACAACAAGCTGATAATGCACAACAAGGCTGATTATGCCTATAATGGAGGCCAGTAACTGCTGCAGAAATGGACAGAGGAGGTGCTTTGCTAGGGCCTTGTGCTCCTGGTGCATGGAGGGGATCGAAGCTGCTGTTTGTCAACAGACATTTGGAAGCTGTCCAGGATGCCGAGGCTGGGGTGGCCATTTCCTGTGCTCTAGGGAGGTGCCGAGCAGTGTTGTGTTTTCTTCCCTCTTTTCTAGTCCCTTAGGTCACAGAGGTATTATAGTAAAGTAGAAGATTAGGATAAGGCTCCTGCAATCCACATTTAAAAGAAAGTTTATTTCACGTAGTTCTAGATGCCTGCAGGTTATGCTGATGAGTGGCAGGCTCTTCAGCACAGGTGTGTCTAGATGAGGGCTGTGGCTGCCACCTGCAGCTTAGTGCAGCTTCTTGAGGTTCCTGGGTGCTGTGAGTAGCTGAAAGGTGGGCCTCTCCTGGGCGCCTCCTCTTCTCCCTTAGCCCATAGCCCAGCCGGCCCCAGCCCCCACATAGTCATAAACCAACTGGAAAAAACTTGGTGCTGAGGGCTGAGGCACCAGTAATGGGAGTTCCTGCCAGACTATAGAGGACCCATTTCGTGGTGAGCCTGTTTTCTGACTTCAGGATCCTCCACCAGTCCTCCTGGGGATAGACCAAGGTTTTGGCCTGGCAGTGCCTTCCTGTTCTTATTCTGGGGGACAGATGAGCTTGTTCTCCTTCTTTGTCCTCCTGACTTTTGAGTATCTCCTGGAGTAGAATATGTCAGTTTTGCTCATGGAACATATTACCTTTCAAGGCCAGAGAAGACCTTTTGTTTTTTGTTTTTTGTTTTTGTTTTTTTCCGGACTCCTATAGATGAGTTTTTATAAAATGTCAGTGGGGTTTTCAGCACATCTGATAGTATTGATCAGCCTTCTGGGGTGAATCTGGCACATGTTAGGGGAGGTATAGTTACAAAACAGTACTCTATACAGCACAGCCTGAAGAATCAGCTTCTGATACGGCTTTGTCTCCTTAACTCTGTGGATTTCTCACTTAGGAGTTTTCCAATGAAGGAGTTTTCTGGAACCATCTGGCAAGCCAGACCTATGTAATTTGTATTCAGATCCTTTAAGCTGCTAGCTGGAATTATTTGGGGTGTTTGGAAAGGGTGAGATAGGCTCAAGTAGCCTATCAGAGTGATGTGTCCTCCAATCAGCTCCCTAGCGCTTCCTGTGGGCTTCTTGTGTGCATGGAACCTTACAGGATAGGCACCCTCCTCTTCAGCTGCCTCTGGCTGTCTCTCTGGATGGCTTTAGGTGCTTAGCCCAGACTCCAGGACCCCTCTGTGGCCAGGGTGCACTTAGCATTAATAGAAAGGTGTCAGTAGCAGCGGACCAGGAGGGTAGTGACGCGCTGTGAGGCCTCACTGTAACTGTGACAGGAGCTGTGTCCAAGGCTCTTAGAGGCACGCACCTTTGTGTGTGTGTGTGTGTGTGTGTGTGCCAGAGATCGAACTCAGGACCTTGCGCTTGTGAGGCGGGCAGTGGAACCACTGAGCTAAATCCCTGGCCTGTCCAAGGCTCTTAGAGAAAGGCCGTGTGTAGCCAGGGAAAGAAGGGCCAGCACTGTGCCCCAGAGGCCCGAGTGCATTCTTCAGCCAGAGTTCTTTCCCGTTGGGCTTCTAGAGTGGCCTTGATGCTCAGCCTGTGCTTTGTGCCTGTTCGAACAATTGGGGGTGCTGTATGCTGGCAGTTTTCTCACTGAGTGAGTGTCCTGAGAGCTGGCATGGGGTCCCCCTGCCGAAGGGGGAGGGGATGTGTGCCCTGCCACATGGGCTCCTCATCACCATACTGGTGAGTTTCAGAGTAGGAGTTGGCTCCAAATCCAGGTGCCTTAAGTGTGGCTCTGTCCCATGTGCTGCTGGGGAAAGCTGTCACTGTCATTTCCTCCTCCTCACCTGTGGACAGACATCACCCGCCACTTCCCTACCTTCCTGTCTTTCTCACTGTGGCTCCTTTAGTGAGATTACCTGTTCCTCTCAAGCTTCAAATGTTCCTTCTTCTGTGACAGAATCCCAGTTGGGAGCGCTTCTGCCATCCAAAATTTAATCACCTAGGGTGTGCATTCTGGAGCTGGCCAGTGCTCTGCTCAGTGAAGCCTGTTTCAAAAATTGGGCCTGGAGAAGGTGGTTGCGTGGACACTAGTGGGCTGCCTCTTACCTACAGTGTTAGCTTTTGCTGGCAAAGCACTCAAAAGGTGAAGGAGCTGGGCACTTTGCCTCAAGTGGTGTGGTAGCTCCTTCCGTGTTAACTTGCTTAGTCTCGCTGGAGACCATTTTGAGGCCTGGTGTTCATTTGTGCCCAGCAGGGTGAAATTTGCTGTCCTTTGCTTTCAAAGGTCCAGTGTTCTGTGTCTAGCTCTGCGGGAAATCTGGAGAAGCATTACCATTCTGGGTGTTAGCTGGGTTGAATTTAAAATTGAAGCTTCTAGCTGGTCTTGGTGGCACATGCCTGTAATTCAAGCACTCCAAGAGGCTGAGGCAGGAGGATTGCTGAAAGTTTGAGGTCAGCTTGGGCTATATAGTGAATTCAAGGCCAGCCTGAACTGCAGAACAAGACCTTGTCTCAAAAAATAAAACAATTCCAGCTTCTATACCTGAATCAAAGTGACAACTGAAGTCATATTTCCTATGAAACGAAATGAGCCATCAGAAGTTGAGCCAGGAGGCGTGCTATTAAGAAATCTTCATTATTGATAGCAGTTATCTGCTATCATCTAGCTCCCTGTGTGGGGAGACCATTCCCTTTGTCCGAGTGGGCATCCGAGAGGCAGCTCCTGCGGGGAGCGCATAACAGCAGCCAGACAGGCCTACCTGGGCTGGGACTCTGCCTCCCGCTTTCTCCTGGAGCCTCTGTTTTGGGATCCCTCAGAGGGCCTTTGCTTTCTCTTTGGCCTTGGGGCTAAGCTGCCCTCCTGGCTTCTCCAAAGAAGATCCTGGCTTATTTCATTTTAAGTTCTAAAGATAAACATAGGAGGTAATGACTAGAAGTAGTTTGGGGCTAAAACAGGCTGTCATCTCATTCTGTGTTAGCTCAAAGCCATTGCAGAGAAAGCATTCTTCAGGGGCCTGGACTTCTGAAGACGTCTCAGGCTTTGGGCATCTGATTTCTAACACCTAGGGACAGTGACTTGGAGACGCCTGGGGCTGACCATAGACTGGTGGTTCATAGTGTGGCGTTGACTGGACAAACTTCAATGTATTTTTTCAGTTGGAGTGGAACCCATCTCTAAACTGGACTTACAGTCTGTGAGTCCTACTTTAGTTGAGCCTGCCTCCCTTGGTGGGGGTCCCAAGTACTCTTTTTTTTTTTTTTTCCTTTCCCTTTTCAAAGTCAGTTTTGGGCCGGGGATTTAGCTCAGTGGTTCGGTGGCCTGCCTTGCAAGCGCGAAGACCCGAGTTCAATCCCCGGTACAAAAAAAAAGTCAGTTTCATCTGGTGATCCGTGCCACCATGCCGTCATTGAGGTTCGGGAATGAGTAAAGTCTGTCCTAGAAGTCGCAGCACAGACTCCTTGGTGTGTACCTGGTGGAGAAGCGTACTTGTTGAACCTTCGTGTTATTCACATTCCGTGTTACAGAATATCTTAGCCACAAGATGGGTCTGGTGGAGGTGGATTTACCTCTTGTTTCACAAAGGACTATGTGAAGTCATTGAAGTTGAGAAAGTCTATTTTTTTCCTTATAAATCTATTTTTCACAGAATATAAGAAACTCAATGACCTGACCTGTCCTTCTTCCTCTCTTCACCCAAGATCCTCATTCCAGTTTGTACTGTCTTTGTGTCCAAAGTACACTAGTTGATTTATTTGTATAAAATGTTATTTTGTCACAAGAGACAGTAATAAAGATTTTTCACGCTATGCCTACTCTGTCTTGTTTCCTGCCTGCGCCCCTGGCCTTACAGGAGTCGGGTGGGAATGGGCTCCCATTTCTCTTCTTTTGGCTATTTTGTGGCCTTTCTCTTGAACGAGCAGAGATGATTGTTAGGGTACCTGAAAAATGTTTTATTTTGTTTTGTTGTTTTCAGACTGTTTTACTATGTAGTTTAGGCTGGTCTTGAACTCACTTTGTAGCCCAAGCTGGACTGGAACTCATGGTGATTCTCCTGCCTCTGCCTCCCAGAGTGCTGGGATTATAGTCATGCAGCACCACACCCAGCTAGTTTAAATATTTGTTTTGTTTTTTTGCAACTGGGAATCAAACTTGGGACCACTGAGCTAAATCCCCTGCTCTTAGTTTAAAGATTTTATAAAGATACTTTGCCTGGAAACATTGAGAACTTAATATTTGCATACATTTTTTTTTTTTTTTTTTTTTTTGGTACTGGGGATTGAACTTGGGACCTTGTGCTTTCAGGCACTGAGCTAAATCCCCAGCCTGCATACATGTTTTAAAGGTAGGTTTTTGGGCCAGGGATTTGGCTCAATGGGTCCACCGCCTGCCTTGCAAGCACAAGGACCGGAGTTTGATCCCTGGTACCAAAATAAATAAACAAACGTAGGCTTTTTTGTTTTTGTTGTTTTCCCCAGTGCTGGGGACTGAACCTAGATCCTTTGCACTGAGTTGTGTGTATTCTTTTTTTTTTTTTTTTTTTTTTTTTTTTTTTTTGGTAGCAGGAATTGAACTCAGGCCCTTATGCTTGCGAGGCATGCGCCGGAACCACCGAGTTAAATCCCCAGCCCTGTGTCTATTCTTTTTAAAACATTTTTTTTTTCATTTTATTTTGAGATAGGGTCTCAGTAAATTGCCCAAGCTGGGCTTGAACTGGGGATCCTCCTGCCTGAGGCTCCCAGAATTTAGGATTACTGTTGGAAATGTGCCACACCCAGCTATGGTAGGCTTATTAAGGTGCATTTTACACTTAAAACCTACTATGTGAAAGAGTATAATCTGATGCCTTTTCTTTTTTGGTTTTTTCAAATGGTCTTGCTATGTAATTCAGTCTGGCCTTGAACTCAAGTACTGGGATTACAGGTGTGTACCACCATGCCTGGCTAGCTGATGCTCTTTTTTTTTTTTTTTTGGTACTGGGGATTGAACTCAGGATCTTCCGCTTGTGAGGCAGGTGGTGGCCCCACTGAGCTAAATCCCTGCCCTTTTTGACAAAAGTACAGTCTTCCTATCAGTCACAATCATAATAGAAGGACATTTCCATTACCCCTACTGAAAAATGTCCCAAGAGTTCTGATTATTCACAGGCAGTTCCTTCCCTTGCCAGGCTTTTACAACCAGTCTGAGTCTGTTTATGTTAAAAAACGTGTATACTTTTTTAGGGGAGGGCAGTACTGAGGATTGAACTCAGGTCTTCACCCTGAGCTACATCCCCAGCCCTTTTTATTTTTGAGATAGGGTCTGGCTATCAGGCCTTGAATTTAGGATCCTCCTACCTCTGCCTCCTGAGTAGCTGGGATTATAGCTGTATGCTGCCACCTTTGGCAAAAGACATTTCTAATCTAAAATACGCACTCATATTTAGGGGCACACAGTATAATTTTAAAATTAAAGTCTGGGATTTAGCTCAGTGGCACCATGCCTGCCTCACAAGCACAAGGTCCTAAGTTCAATTTCCAGTACCAAAAACCCAAAAAAGTAAAGGTTTGGGGGTTTAGCTCAGTGGTAGAGCACAAGCATGAGGGCTTGGGTTCAATTCCAATACTAAATAAGAGACTGATTGGTCTGAGGTACCTGAAGCAATTACTAACTAGCTTTTACTCAAACGTGAGTCATTTCTCTTTTCTCTGTTTTTAAGTTTTAATCGTTTTTCTACCTCCCAGCTGGTGCCCAGGTGGGAAGGATGACCCGAATGTGAGGGAGTCCTCAGAGCATTTGTCACGACATGTATTTCAACTTTTAGGTAATTTAGGCTGGCTGTGAACTCACTGTGTGTAACGGAGAAATACCTGGCTGGCCTCAGGTTTGTGGAGATCCTCCTACCTCAGCCTCGTGAGTGCTGGGATTACTGGCATGAGCCACTATTCCCTGTTTATTTGTTTTAATTTAAAGCACTATGGTCGGAGAAGCTTTCTTTTAAGTACCCCCTTTAAAAAATGAAAGTAATTAGCTGGATGTGGGGTACACACCTGTAATGCCCGCACTCGGGTGGTTGAGGCGGGAGGATTGCTGCCGGTTTGAGGCCAGCCTGGGCTATGCAGTGAGTTCAAGGCTGGCCTGAACTACATAGTGAGACCCTGTCTAAAAAAAAAAAAAAAAAAAAGCAAACACACATTAAGGACTTTGTTCTCCACTCCCACCGCACCCACCCCCAGTACTGGGAATTGAACCCAGTTAGGCAAATGCTCTACTGAACTATATCTGTCCCAGCACTTTTTTGAACTGGTTTTAACTAAATTGCCCAGGCTAGCCTTGAGCTTGAGATCTTCCTGCCTTGGCTTCCCTAATAGCTGGGATTACTGCCAGTACTGCCCCTCCCAGCTACTCTGCATCTTTTTACTTCTCTCAAGGCAGTGGAGCAAGATCTTGAAGGAACATGGGATGTTTTGGGGAGTGGGGTTGGTACTGGGGACAGATGTGTGGCTGCTTTAGGGGTATGTGGGGATCACATTAATACTTTGCAGAGGGAGGATCCTTGGGCAAGTGCGACCTTCAGAGTTTCTGGAGTAGGTGTCCTGACCAGGATGTGCGGGATCAAACACTTGGCTCTGAACCCAGTGGGGAGGGAGGAGGACAGTGTAATGGAGAAACACCTGCTATACCTCACTTCACCACCTCGGGGGGAAAGAACTCTTCCCTGCTTAGCAACCCCATTCCATGGCCCAAACACCGAGCAGAAAGCAAGATAGGACCCCTGCCTCTGTGGGAGCCAGTGATGCTAGTTAGGAAATAAACACTAAATTTGAAGCCAGCCTTGGTGGTAATCCTAGCATTCTGAGAGGCTGAGGCTGGAGGATCACAAATTCAAGTCCAGTCGGGGAAACTTAGGTCCTGTCTCAAAAGGCCTGGTAGGGCCCGGGATTTAGCTGTGGTTCTGCTGCCTACTTCGCAGTCGCAAGGTCCCGAGTTCAAGCCCTGGTATCCCCAGCCCCCAAAGGCCCGGGGATGTAACTCATTGTGAAGGTCCAGGGTTATATCCCCAGCAACCCCACCATCACCCACACGCAGAGGCCGTGTACACGCACACAACCAACAAAGCAGAAACAAAGTACCACAAACGGTACAAACAAGCCGGCATGCGGAGAAACACTGGCCTGGTATAGACAGGGTGCAAGGGGAGCAGGCCAGGCTAAGGAGCAGTGACGCAAGGGCCAACGGAGAGCAAAGCTTCCCGCCTGGCGTGGAGGGAGCCGAGGACGCCGGGGAACACACCGTGGGCCTGGGCAAAACAGAGATGTGGGCCGGGATTGGTCTTGGTTCTTCAGGCCATGGAGTTGGATTTCACAAGAAATGCGTCCTTCGATGACGGCTTTTAAGCTGAAGACTTTTTTGTTTTGTTTCGTCTTGAGACAGTGTCCCCCTGCATGGTCCAGGCTGGCTGGGAACTGCTGAGCACAC